ACCCCAGCCCCCACTTTCGATATTTTCCTATGCTTTCCTGGGAGTCGACGATTGTTTGTGTCTGTGGTTTTCCCTTCCTGAAGTATATGGGCTGGCGGTGGGCTGATGGATGCACTCCGAGTGCGAGCTGTGGCAGCACGGCAGCGGCAAAATTCAGACGCCCTGGGACCGCAGGTTGATGAAGCCCGCCGTGATGTTGCCCCCGATGCCTTCTGGTGAAGCGTACAGCACCTCCATGTGGCCAGCGATCACATGCTCGTCACCGATGCCAACGGCGGGTCCAATCGTGAAGTTCATGCTCGCGTCGATGGCGACAGGATCATCGCCGGCGCCGGCGCGCACGACCACGTCCGACACCGACCCCCCCTCGGGAACGCCCGCCTCGCCCAGCCAGCCTGCGCCGAGGCCGTCCTCTCGGGTGCCGCCACGGCCCACGCCGTTCTGAGCCGCGTCTGCTCCGTGCACGCTGGAGCGACGAGAAGAAGCGGGCCTTACGCGAGATGGTATAGCGACCTTACGCGGCGGCTCACGCAGGCCGCTAGCGCGGCACGCCACACTGGGCGCGAGTCACGAGGGCGCATGCGCGCGCCCTTGCGCGGGCAGCTCGCGCGCCAGCGTCCGTGCAGACGCCCCCCATGCTTCTGCGTCGTTCGTGTGGCCAGAAGGACTGGGCTGGCAGCGGCGTGGGTTGAGAACGGAAGGAGGAGGAGGAAGAGGAGGAGGAGGAGGAGGAGGAGGAGGTGTAGGAGGCGGCGGAGGACAGGAAGGCCGAAGCTCAGGAGAACGAGGAGCCGTTCCGCGCAAGGAGGGGCAACGATGGGGAAGGGACTGGTTTGGGGGGGAACTAAAGGGGCCCCAGGACACAAAAGTGAATGCACACAAATCCCAGGATTCACCCTATGCTTCCATATGTTTGGGATTGTCGCCTTCCCCCTCCCCACACTCCCCATATCTTCCCACATTTCTGGGCCATCGACGATGAATCGTGTCTGTGTGCTTCTGTTCTCCCCCGAAAAAAAACCGCGGCCGGGACTCGGCGGCACCTCCCCGACAGATCGGCGGCAAGACCCCGATGGCACATCCGCGCCTTCCCGGGCGGGGTGGGCCGTCGGGCCCCTCTCGGCGGTCCATGGGCGCGTCGGGGTCGACGCATCCCCCCCCTGAGCCCTTCCCCCCCCCTCCTCCTCCTCCTCCTCCTCATCCTCTTCTTCTTGATATTGTTATCATTGTTCTTCTTCTTGTCATTAAAAGTATTAGTATAATGCCACCAGCCCTCTGGGCGTCGTTGGTTTAGAGCCTTCCCCCCCCACACACCACAAATGCTGCCCCTGACGTGAGGCCAGAGCCCGCGCCCCTCAAGGAACTGAGAGCGGCCCTCACCGCTGCTCCTCGGGGGCCTCTCCTGGGGCGCGATCTGAGCGGGACTCTGAGGCGACTCCCACCGTTGCGACCAAGGAAGGGCAGCGTTAGGTCGAGCACGTCCTCCTACAGGCGGATGTTGGAAGACAAATGGAAAATAGTCCAACTATAATCAAAAATTATCAAAAAGAGTTGAAACATCGTCCCCAGACTATAGTGCTTACTATGCTTGACTATTCCTCCTGTAGAGGGACATGCCCGACTTACGGGTAGTGACATCGCTGTCTGTTCCTCCAAAGAGCCGCAGCACCCTCTCAGGCTGGGGCTGAAGGACGGGCAGAGCCCGAGGCAAACAGAACAGATGCGCCTTGAAGTGCCGCTTGGTGCTAAACATCGCTTAACCGATCCCTGTTCCCCCTCCTCCTCTTCCTCCTCCTCCTCCTTCACTGACGTGGCCTGAGCCCCACTGGCCGATCTGCCTCCCCTGATGCGGATCTAGGCTGTTCCCTTGGCGCTTCGGGAGGCCCATCCCGAAGTGGGGTCGTGGGATGGCGGGGCTGAGATACCATGGCCGGGCGGGGATGGGACAGGTTGAACGATATTGATGGTTCGGCACCCGAGCCTCGTTGCTGCACTCGTACTCGTAGACCCCCGCCTGGCGTCTGGGTGCAGCCGACGCGTCTCGACTCCTATCAGCGATGCCCGCCCCAACGAGATCGCCTCGGAAACACTTCGCACCGACACCGCCACAACCAAAACCAGATGTCGGCGGTGGACAAACTTCCCTTTAGTAGACCTCCCCTTAGCGAAAACGGCCTGGGACCGAAACCGACGGACCTGGACCCGCAAAAATGACGGCCGCGACGCCCTCTTGCGAACCGAAAACGGCCAATTCCTTAGTAGGAGGTCTGTCCACCCCCGACTATGTTACGGCGGGGGCCTCCAGAAGGAATCCGGAACGACAGCAAAAACTGGCCCTCGCGGAAGGGGTCCCAGACCTCCAGCGTCATGCTTTGGGCGCCCGAATTATCCGGGGCAACTCGGGCCCGGGGCAACTCGGGTTCGGATTCCCGAAAAACGAACCCGAATTAGCCCTGACCCGAATTATCCCTGATGATTTGGGGCTCTGGACGCCCGAGTTATCCGGGGTAACTCGGGCCCGGGGCAACTCGGGTTCGGATTCCCGAAAAAACGAACCCGATTTCCGAAAAACGAACCCGAAAACGACCTCCAGCTTTATGCTCCTCTCAGCGCGGGGCCCCCGGGGAGCTCTGGGCCGCTGCCCGGGGACAGCAGCTCCTCGTCCCCGGTGCTCTTTTGCCTGCTGCTCCCCGGGGCTCGGCGACGGGCCTCGGGCGCCGAAGACGGCGAAGCGCCAGCGCCCTGACTCCTGCCCCACACCTTCGAGGTCTGGGGCATCCAGGGCCCGCGGATTGGGGGAAGGGGGGGGGGGAAATAAATTAATTATATTTATTTTTAGAAGTGATATTACATTCTATGTATTAAAAATGTATGCGCTCTATGTGCTTTATTTTGTTTATTCTTATATATATATAAATAAATATGAACAACAAAAAACAAAAACAAAAACAACAACAACAAAAAATAATAAAAAAACGCCTTCTGCTGGAAGCCTCTCGCGCGCGCGCGGCCCCGGGTGGGCACGCCGCCACCGCCCGCGGCACCATGGGGGAGCGCCGAGGCCCCACCGGCACGCGCTCGCGCTGCAGGAGGGTCCAAGGCCCCCCTGGGCTTAGGTCGGGCCTGTCCCCCTACAGGGGGATTTTCGACGAAGAATAAAAGAAATACCCCGAACATTGTAAAAACATGTTCCGAAATTAGTCTGGGGACGATGCTTGGGGTATCTTTTGACCATTTGGGGCCTTTTGGGGGGTATTTTCTATTTTTCGTCGAACATCCCCCTGTAGGGGGACAGGCCCGACATAATCCTTGGCATCTCCCTGGAGGCCCGCTGCCCCAGACCCCCTCGCGACGTGAAAACGACGCGACGTGGAATTTGTTCGCCGTGTTCGGCTTTGGGGGTGCTCACCCGGGCCTCGGGACCGTCAAGAAAATATCCAAACCCTGCCCCCACCAACCGTCGATTATTCTCCGGAGCCGATGAGAGATTGGGGGCAGGGCCCGGATTTCGCCACGTGTTCGACGAATTCCGAACCCTACCCCCGCCGCCCATCGAGTTGACTGAATCGTTGATCGGCGAGGGCAGGATTCGGACTCCGCCACGAAACAACCCTACTCAGGATGAAAAGCTGGTCGCTGGGGAAGAGCTCGGGACCTCTGGGGGACCACGTTAAGAAGAAAGCATGACTTCGGGGGTCGGGGCGAGGAGAGCGGGGTCAGTCCGTATCGAATCTGGACATCGAACGCGACGACGCCGGCGGCCGCATGACGATGGCGGCGTCGGCGAAACGACGCCTGCGGCATCGGCGACGACGACGACGACGACGACGACGATGACGGCGGCGGAGGCGGCGGCGGAGGCGGCGGCGACGGAACGACTAATGCGGCATCGGCGACGACGACGACGACGACGACGACGACGACGACGACGACGACGACGACGACCACCACGACCACGGCGGCGGCGGCGGCGACGGCGGCGGCGACGGCGGCGGCGGCGACGGCGGCGGCGGCCAGCGCCTCCACCGCCGCCAGGCGCCGGCTGCGCCGAAGGCTCAGGTTGCGCAGGTGCCGCACCACGCGCAGCAGCCTCGCCCTCGGCCTCGCGTCGGTCCCCGGCCCGAGGAGCTGCCGGAAGGGCCCGGGCCCCGGGGCGGCCGCCTGGGCGCGCGTCGGCGCCGCCGTCTTCGCCGCCGCCTCCTGTCGATGTCGTCGACGGTCGTCCTCGTCGTCGTCGCCGCCGCCACCGCCGCCGTCGTCGTCGCCACCGCCGCCGCCGCCGCTATCGTCGTCGTCGTCGTCATCGTCGTCGTTGTTGCCGTCGCCACCGCCGCCGCCACCGCCGCCGTCGTCGTCGCCACCGCCGCCGCCGCTATCGTCGTCGTCGTCGTCATCGTCGTCGTTGTCGCCGTCGCCACCGCCGACGCGTCCGCAACCCTCGTCGGCGTGGTCCCTGACGTCCGCCGATCGACGGCGTTCCCTCCGCGGCCCCAGTGGCCCCGAGGCCTCCTTCCCCGGGAGCAGGCGCGGGCCCGGGAGAGCCGCGCGCGACGCGCCTCCTGCGGCCCGGCAGCGGGCCCCGAAGGCCGAGGTCTGCAGAAAGAGACGCCGGGGTGGAAGAAACAGCCCGTTGGTCGCCGCTAGGTGACCGATGGCCCCACCCCGCCGGGGAAGACGCGGATCCGCTATCGGGGGCCCGTCGCCGATCGATCGGCGATGCATCGCCGCCTCCAGGCCGATGCGCCCCCGTATGCCAGACCCCCCTATCGTTGCCCCTCGACGGCTGACCTCATCGGGGGCCGTCGTCGCCGTCGCCGTGCGTCGTGAGGCAATCACGGCGGGCGTTCCTGTCCCTGTCTCGGCCCCCTGTGGCCCTCACGAGTCGACCTGGGCTGCGGGGATCCCCCGCGAGGAGGTGGGACCGATGGCTCGGGCCGTGCTCTCATTCCGGCGTGCTGTGTGCCGTCTGGCATGCTGCCGGGTGTCAGGGGTTAAGGGAG